CATACACACACACACACACACACACACACACACACAGAAGAACACACATAAACCTACACAAACATACAAGTACATAAATGCATGCACACAGGGTCACACACACATTAATCCAACAGACGCACAGACCCTACCCCCCCCCTCCACAACATCCCCCCTCAGATCGAGTTTTAAGGAGAGGGGCTACACTTGAGAGCTGTCTCCCTTATTTGTGAATCAAATTTGACAAAATTTCACACAAGTAACAAGCATAGCGAGGAGTCTTCAAATTAACCCAAAACTTTTTAGAAAAAAAATTCGTTGCCATGGAGACTGTGACAATATTGAATTTTGTTGACATGTCTTACACAGTTAAGAGCTCACTTATTTTCAACGGAAATAGATTGTTATTTTGCATGCGTATTAACAAACAATATTTCTACAAAAGAGTCGCTTAAAATTTTTTCCAAACTGATTAGAATATGTTAAAGAATTGGTCTCTTGAGGTAGTATTTAAGTTTGCGAAAAATCTGTGAAAGTCCGCACTCCAAATACCACCACCTGAAATATATTCCACATATTATTATATTGAAAGTTCAATGAAATATGTTATAAAAGATCTAGAGTTACATCTATTCTTGATTCTGTGAAAATTTCATGAAGATTGGATGAAAAACGGCGGAGTTCTTCTTCTTCCTCTTCTTCTTCCTCGTTCTCGAGGTTTGCTCCTTCTTTTCTATCAAACATATATCGTCGTGATCTCTCCGCCTTCCTTTTTATGTTTGTTACTTTCTTGTAACACCTCTAATCTTCGGCATTTATATGACCTTATTGTGTTGCAAGTGCCGCAAAACTTTTGCTAAAACTAAAACACCAACAGCGAATGCAACCCTTCAAATTGCGACATTTTGAATGCCACACGTTTACATACAGAACACGCACGTTTGTCTAGTTATTACTATTATTCTCGAGCATCATTCAAATTTTCTGTCTCTCTTTCGTTCAAAAAATTTTTTTCTGACTTTCCAGCCAAGTGCTCAGTCTGAAAATGAGCTATCTGTGGGTGTCCAGCTCTATGAACGTTACTGAAAATGAAATATGGTATATAAAGCACATGCAACAAAAAGATCGCCCTTTTTGTACTACTGTAACCCTGTAACCTGCCCCCCCC